AATTATACCATCAGCTGGGCATATAAAATGTTAAATTTACTGATATGATCTATGATCAATACCACAATGGTACTACCATTGATTCTTTGATAGAATACTACATATAATAGAAACAACTCAATTACATTTTATATTTTCTGAACTTTCCTAGAAGTATCTAAGGAAAATATTTGATCATTAGTGGTTGGAATTCCCTGAGAATAGGTGACAAGATGATCCTATCTTGGAAATAAAAAAGATGCAGTGGCTGATCAACTTTGAAATATTCCTAATATTTTTTACTTATACTCCATTGGTTAAATACTTACCACAACATGTAAGGAGAGACTCTCTTGTCATTTTAACAATTTTACAAATACAGAGAGATACACAGCTAAAACAACTGTCCAAGCAAGTAAGTAGCAGATCTGGGAATTAAACTCAAATTTGCTGATTCATAATCAAGAAGTATGGTGTAATAAAGTTCATTTCTTTGCATAAGCCCTTTTTCCAGGGAATATACCCAAAGGGAATGCTAGCCATTTTCCCATTATAGATGTTAAATGATCCCTTAGTACTCACATTTAATATTTATGGTTAGTAATTGTCAATAAAATTTTTAGATAGCAAGAACATGCATCTCAATCACTGTCATTATCTGTATGTTAACATTCAGGTTGTCTAGGTGTGGCCAAGGAGCCCTTTTCTCCTTTCATACCCTGGAGGCATTGAATAGTCTTAGGAACCATGACTACTCCTACTATATATAGTAACAGACATCTCCCACTGCAAACATTACTGAAGAAGGTAGTGGTCATGGGGAGAAGCATGAGAAAGTTGTGACAAATGATTACTGTATTTGAAATCTACATGGCTAGAACAACTGACTGTAAAAGTTACAGCTGGCCTGAGGGAACCAGTTGTAACTCACTTAAGGGAGAATCTGTCCGTTTCCCGACTATCCTGTAATACCTTTGTTATTCTTTCTCCTTAAACTAAATTAATTCCAAAGGAGTAACTTTTTTCATAGGAAAAGGTTCTTACCATTTTTTACTATGATAAAATTTTTTAAAAATTGAATATGCTCCATGTTGGTTGTCCTGTCTCTCCCTACTGTGTTCCTGGTTGAACTAGACTCCATAGCACTATCCACAGCAAGAATTTATCCAAATGAATTTATTTCACAAATGTTTAAGTGTTGTAGGTGCTGTACAAGATGCTGGGAAGCAGTAAACAAACAAACAAACAAAAAAAGAGTTCCTGCTTACAGTGTAATCAATGTCCCGCCCCCATCCTGGGCTTCATGTCATCCTGTGCCTGACTCTAGGGACTCATGGCATTACTCACTCTGTACATGGAGCTCCTTGGCCTTGGTCACCAAGGACATTAAGTCGCAGGTTGTTTGCACAGCAGCTCGGAACCGATCTAGCCCTCCCTTCTGTGAGGTAGGAGCTAGTTTAGGATGGGGAGCAGTGTGTGCCAAAAGGTGATCTAAATAACGAGCAACTTCATCACCACAGCGAGCTGCAAGGTTAGTGGGGAAGGGGGAAGAGAAAAAAATGAACATTTTAGTTATTTCAAAATCTACCCCAGCATTCTGGTTGGCTCCTGTACCCATTAACACAGCACCAGAAGTAGGTTGTTTTTAGCTCATGGAGGAAAAAAATTTGTGATTATTATATAACCTCATAGATTTAAGATTTAGAGACTATGATTATTTACCAGGACCCACCCATTCTTCAACTATGCTGAGACAATGTAAAGGTTACTGAAAACAGTATGTCCTTATTCTAGAACAGGTGGAACAAGTATTTCACAATATGCGTATGTACATGTGTATGTGTGATAGTAGTGGTGAGACAGTGGTAGAAAAAGAGCAGGATAGGCCCCTTCAAGTCCCACTAGTAGGAGACTTTTGTAAGGAGGAGTTGGAGAAGGGCAAAAATCTTATACCAAATATTGAGCCTAGTTATAAACTGATGCTACAACTAGCAGCTACAATGGAAATACTATCTTCATGTGGCATTAGTGAAGAAAGGACTATTGTCTACACATTGGCTTTTTAGTCACCTCATTTATTTATTTATTCACCAAATATTATTGGTTACTATGTACTAGGTAATGAGGTATGGTGAAGAAGATAAATATAGTCCTATTCTCTTGGGCTCCTTCTCTGCCATACATCTTCTATAACATCATTTCTGAATATAGATAGTGAGAACAATATATACATATACCCAGAGGATGCCTAATATTTCATACTTCATATGAATATTCATGATACTTATAGTTAGAAAAGCACATTGTCAATATCAGTACCAAAGTCTGCTAGGTCAATCATGCAGCATCTGGTTTTAGACAATTTTCAGTAATATCTCCAGATACCTTTCCTTTGCTCTGATGTGACCAATGACAACTAGCAAAGCTCTAATAATGTAACTCACGTTCAATGAAATCATAATGACAAAGATTTTTAACCTTGAATACAATCTAGACACTTGGGTGGAGATTATGAAGAATGTAGAGAGAAGAACTCTACCCAAAGAAGGGCTGGCAGGCATTCAACATGTGAAAGCATTAATGAAAAAAATCCAGAAGAGGGAAATGACTCAGAATGACTAACATCAACTGTAGTAATACACTTCATTAAAAAGATACATGTTAGAAAGTAATTCAAGGGAATGGGTGCTACTCATGAAATAACAAATAATATATGATCATTCTTATTTAATTTTCAAAGTATTTTATGCCAAGATAGACAAAATTAATGACTTTGATTATTACTGATAGCAGTAAATAACCTTGTATTTAATGTACTTTTTCAACAAAGAAATTCAAACTATCTTACAAAACAAAACTCTTCTTTTTGTGGTACTGGAGGTTGAACTCAGGGCCTCATGCTTGTTAGGCAGGTGCTCTACCACTTGAGCCACTCCCCAGCAAACAAAATATCTTACAAAAACAAATACAGAGTAAATGAGAGTGAGCAAATGATGAGCCCAAATAAGAAAATAGTACTTCCAACTACTACTGTGTGGGTCTATTGTATATGAAATTACACTTACTATTTCACTGAGAAAAGCAAACTTACCATTTTCTTTTCTTCATCACATGACTTTTTTTTGAGCCCAGGACTCACTGTGCAGCCCAGGCTGGACTCAACCTTCCAAGTACAGGGATTATAGGCTGATTATCACTCTTAAAAAAATTGGCTACCTTAAGCTCTAGGCTAACTGTCAAATACCCAGACAATGAAAAGAGGAAAATCAAACTTTAGATAACCAGAAGAACAATTCTCTCATATTGGCTCTTCCCTCTTTTGGATTCAAATAATGTAATGTTTGTCCTGCATAGATCATAGATTTTAGCACTGCAGGGCAGTGTTTCTCAGCCATTTTTAATTCATGCATCATAATGCTTTCTCACTGTATCATCTTTGGATTCCTAGCCACTAATTAAAGTTTGATTTTATTATACATCATTTGTCTAGTTTGCTATGTGAAAGCAATAGGCATTCCAAATATGCTTTAACAAACTACATACACCTCCCATTGATTCTCATATATCCCTCTAATGTATAAAAATATGACTAATTAAGCGTAACTAATTAAAATTCATTATTTATGCTTTTTCATGCCAAAAAGCAGTGCTGTACACATATGATTTTTTTACTACATAGATTAAATATCTATTACTCACCACTGTTTCTATCTATTTCACATCACCAGCCACTTCAAATGCTCAGGAAAGAAATCTTCCCTAACCTTAGTAAGGGACAATCCAACTCCATAGTCCACAATCACCACAGGGATATTAGATCAGAAACCAAAGGTAAGTAGAGGTATGAAAAGTAAAGCCAAACAAAAAGTAGAAATCTCAGTGTATTAAAGAAGAGCAAGGATAGTATACTGTGAGGCTACTGGCAGCATGAATTGTTAAGGATGATGCTAAACAATATTTTGTATTCTTATTTAGCCAGTCAGTGCTTTACAAAGTCTCCTTACCATTAGTGGTTGAGTCACAGCCATCCATCCAGTTGCCAGATTCCAGCTCATCATAGTCCTCATCATAATCTTCACTGTACAGCTTACCCTCAGGTCCAGGATCCATGAAGCTCAAGTGTGTGAAGCAAGATGTTGTCAAAAACTCTGATAATTTACCTGTTTGAATCCTTACAAAATAGAGAATAAATAGAAAACAGAAAATTGAGGGAGATCCTTTTTGAAACAACACAATCTTCATGGCTAAAGGATAACTTTTAATTATTCATCCAATAATTCAACCTAGCATTTTTTGTTAGATGCTATTACTAGCATTTATTGTTTATTGTTATTACTATAAATTTTATACAAGTGAAATTTCACACCACTCCTAGGCAATATTCAGCTTAAATGACTAAAGGATCTTTTAAGAAAGGCTATAATTATAGGTTCACAATCCTCCAGCAAATTAGTTTTGCTAACTTCCATTGTCATATGTTGTGTTGCTAACTATGTCAAATGTCTGATAAAATTTTACATTGAGAAGCCATGAGAGAATGTAGATAAATCACAATAAACCCATCACATTATTTAAAAATACCCCCAAGAGACCATTTTGAACATGGGATAGTACTTGAAATTTAATACATTATAGTAGATTATAAACCATATCCTCCCCTGTTATTAAAGCCAAAAACAAAACTCAAAAGGAAAGTTAGTAGTACTAATTTTCTAAAGAAGTCAGCTTGAAGGTGCTACCAATGGCCAGCCCTTGGATAATCTGAAGAGTGAAATAAATAATGACAGGAATGGGTCATGACATTTTGAATAAAATAAGAATCCATTAAAGTATGCTGATACTAATCTACAAAATAAAAGAAGGGAAAGCTTTCTTATATATAAAAATTCTAACTAATGAATGTATACCGAATAATAGAAACACAAAAACACCATTTTGTAACTCAATTAATAATAATACATTCAGGCAACAATCAATGGAAGCTAACACCATTTGGTGAAAGACTGCTGGGGAAAGGATAGGGAGAAATGTGGCAGACACCACTTTATTTCATTTATTTATTTTGCAGTATTGGGGCTTGAACTCAGGGCCTTCACCTTGAGCCACTCCTCCAGCCCTTTGTGTGATGGGTATTTTCAAGATAGGGTCTCTCAAACTATTTGCCTGGGCTGGCTTCGAACTGCAATCCTCCTGATCTCTGCCTCCCGAGTAGCTGGGATTATAGGCATGAGCCACTGGCACCTGGTTCAGACACCACTTTAAATAAGTCATCAAAGTTAACAATACCCATAATGTAAAAAAACAATCTCATGCTCCTTATGATGACACCCCAAGAAGGGGTTGCTTCAATATTGAACATAAATTTAACTTTCTCATACTAGAACTAGGGTTCAGTCATTCCACACTTTCTTGTTCTACATCTCCCCTGTATGCTCAGTGTGGTGAATCCAGATAATCTGTTTTATATAAGTTTCTTCTGGGGTTCAGAGATAGAAGGCTGACACTATGAACAAGACCCTGGGTTTGATTCCCAGCATGGTGTGAAAAAAGAAAAAAAAACCTTTTGGTGACCACCTCTCTATGGAATAGTCTATTTGACTGCATGCTAACCTCCACACCCTGCATAGATTATGCAGATATTGCACAGTGATCATTTCTGAGTCAGTGTGACCTCCTGGAATTTATGCTTACTTGCTTTAAACCCACCCATTAAAATTTCCCATGGGAACCTGTTTAGATAATGTCCCAGAATCCCATAAGGGTGTTAGCCCATGGGTTGTTTTATCCCCTCCCCACAGGCTCCTCATTGTGCCTGTGTGCACACACGTGTGTGTGTGTGTGAGGGGCTTCTGGGCATGCCATTTTCTGCTCCCCACCAGGAGGAGTAAGTAACAAAATCTTTGTAATTTCCATCTCAAAAGATATTAAATTAAAACAAGGATTCAACTTCACACAGGTATTATTCCTACAAAAACAATCTAAATCTCATCATGACAAAACAGCCAGACAATTCTAAATTGAGAAGCATGCTGTGAAACAACTGACCTACATTCTTCAAAATTTAATGTAACTGACAATTTAATGAAATTGCTGAAGATACGTTTTAGATTAAAAGACACAAAGGAGATATAAAAGTAAGTGCTAATCTAACCTTTGGTTGGGTCCTGGATAGTGAAAAAAAGCTATGGAAAAACATTATTAGGAAAATTGGGTAATTTTAAATATGGGCTCTATATCAGATATTAAGTGTAGTATTTCCTCTTTGTCTGTGGGTTTGCTTTCCACAGTTTCAGTTACTCAAATCAACTACTGTCCAAAAATATTAAGTGGAAAATTATAAAAATAAATAAGACACAAATTCTAAGTAATTTTATTACTGTATATTGCTATACTTATTCTATTTTTAGTTATTGTTATTAATCTTGTAGTGTACCTAGTTTATAGGTACTATCCATGGTTTTAGGCATCTACTGGATATATCTTGGAAGTATTCCCAGTGGATAAGGGGGGACTACTGAAGTGCATCAATATGAAGTTTTCTATGTGTAATGATAATGTCCTTGTTCTTAAACAACATACGCTGAAGCATTTAGGATTGAAGAGTCATGATGTCTATGGCTAACCTTCATAGCAAAAAAGTCTATGTATGTATATAATATTATATATAGTGTATGTATATATGTGTGTGATAGGAGTAGATAGGAAGGGAAGTAG